CAGCATAATAAACGAGTGTAATATGACCATTGTATTGAAGTAAAATCTATTTTTATAAATCTTGTTAGTTTAATAATTTGGATTAATATATATTAATTGTTGTATATTTATAATTGTTCATTTAGTAATTATATTCACAAGTGATTACATAAGTTGACAATTTAAACTGTATCAGGAAGGGTTTTGTGAAGATTTTAGTAATTTATATAGTTGAATCATGAATCAATTAAAGCTAGAACACCATGGAAAACCTGGAAGCACTGGATGGCCGTTTCGTCCTATTGTGGGACTTCTTAGCAGTGCGCATCCACGATCTCGCCTCGCAAGATTCGAATCCAGGACCTACCAGTCTCGCGCCAGATCACTTAACCAATAGACCACTGAGCCGGTATTCAATTTAAACTGTAATCTGGAGTGAATATGACAAACAGAGGAAAATAATAAACACATGAAATGACACTAATACTAATAACAGTATTGAAATTGAAACCACAACTCATAAGAATTCATTACCAATATTATAATACATGATGCCTAGATTTGTTTTTCTTGCATCCAAATATTTGAAACGTCAAAAACATCTTTAAAACTACTATTAATGTAACAAAGATATATGAGTGGATTAAGGTGAATTTAATAATGTATTAAAGTTTTAAGTAGAGATGGATGGTTGCTAACAAAAGAATACAAGAAGTGTGTTTTATCCACGCTAAGACTGGTCAACTGGATGTACCTGTAAACCAGCGGTAGTGCACACTCAGGTGCTTGAACCCAGTATCGTTCACTTCAAACGCCACTGCATTATCCACTCCAATATTGGGTCTATATAGTCACTGTACACTGGGCTGTTTCAATTCTAATGTATTGATTATTTGAATCTTCCTATAAATGGTTATGACTTTAACTGATCAGTCACTTTTTGACATATGTGCACCTTGTGCTAATTGGTTCGATATTGCAATTAAATTACAAACATTTTAAACACTATCGAGGCAACCTGCATAGGATGTAAATATACTAAGCATGATTGATCAACTGAAATCCTATGCATTAAATAGGAATAATATATTTTTAATGTCTTACATCAACTCGGCTCTCAAATACTGTGAAACTATTTGCTCTAATTTAGACGAAAGTTCTTATATGAAATCCTATACATTTATGAGAAGACTGAAATAACCCTTACATATGAATTCTAAAGTTATATTCTAGGCTTTGTATAAACCATTCGAATAGTTTCTAATGGCACTAAACTCTTTAAAGAATCTAGTTAAATATTGTATTGAAAATCAGAGGGGATTAGGAAAAAACAATTAGTCACTGGTAAGATATCTTAGTTCATAATGAATCAACAGTTGGTTGTGCCTTGTTAATACAACAGTTCACTAGCAGATATTAATTCATGATTGAAATCAACTTCAAATTTAGTTTCTTTTTTGTTGTTGTACCATCTAAATGTTACATTACCAATGTGTAAATATTAGTAAACAATCAACAATGGGATGACATTGTTCACAAATATTACCAAACTTTTAATATTCACTTGTTTAATAGTCGTTTTAATTTAACTCAACAGTTCATCTTTAAAAATTCTTTTGGTAACAATTTAACATTATCAAAGGCAACAAAAATCAATTTTAAAATCTTCCAATTTCAATTATCTTATATGCATTATGTAAAACTTACTCAATCGTAAATAATTACTATTAAAAAGGATAGGCTTCAAATGAATAAAAGACGGATGAAAAGACTATACATAGGTCGTAGATTTTTCTCCACTCACTAGTAATTAATACATATCTACAAAAAGTGAAGTGTTACAACAAGTCACCAAAACTAAGTGAGATGTTACATCTAGGTAATGAAATGAATATTAGAATGATCTATGCTACAGGTTGAATAAGTTGATTGACACGCGACTACATCTCTCACTCTTTCCCTAAATAGTAAAAACAATTAAGGGATCATCTTTTTTTTTAAAAATTTCTTTCTTGATTTGATTTAATTACGTGTTGTTTTCTTTTACATTTCGTGTTTTTACAAAAGGTAAACAATTAAGAGGGATAGTAGATATTAAATGTTTATAATTTTATATCAATTTCACTAGTTAAGGAATTAATATAAGGTCAGATTAATTTTATAGAACATTGTTTAATCACTGATTAATTAAGCTCATCAATATACAATTTCCATATTCACTGAAGTGGAATTTGGGAGGGTGATATGAATCGGACAAATTAGTTTTTTAAAATTATCCATTGTTCATAAATAACTTGAAGTTTGTTAACAAAATGACCGAACGAAAGAATTTATAGGCTGAATCTATTTAATTCTGCCTGTGCTTTGTTGAAGTTGTTACAATTAACCTCTCAGATATCAAATTATTGTCAAGTTATGTTGTTTATATATTTGGTTCCGTGCCGACCTCTCAGTAACTTATGCTACTATTAGAGGATCCTATTTAGTAGGAGAGAAGGATGGAAAATATTACGATGCTTTCCTCTGTCCTTTTGAAGATTCAAAGTACATCATTTTAAAAAAAATCCTTAAAACAAAATGCTGAATAAATGTTTGAAGCCTGACTCATATATTCGAAATTAATCGTTGGTAATTCTTAGTTGCCCTGATAACATAACTATTCCATTCTCTACTAGCTAATATATTAATCACAGCATAAATGAGTCAAACTCATTGAGAATTTTCGCTATTAACTGTCACTCACTTTTGTTAATTTGCCTTATCATCCAACGGATTATTTCAAATGATACGGTCTTGTTGCTATTCTCATTGCTTTCCAGTACCTTACTTTAAATGAGAAATTTAAACGTAGTATCCTACCGAATATTTAAGATTTCTTTCATTTCTGATTACCTTCTCCATCCTATGTCAATATATGTTTATATTTGTTTCTGGCTAACTTTTGTTTCTGCGTAAATTTCGAACACTTTTCATACTTTGGGCAGTGAATTATGAAAGATCGCATGAAGCTGCTGGGAATTCTTCAAAGTAACATGAATCCATGTTATTTTGCTCGAACCTTTGTTCTTACTGCTTTAAGAATATTGAAAACAACTAGACGTACAAAAATTCGAGATAAAAGGAGAAATCTCTGGTTACATATATATTTCAATGTGAACACATGAATGAAAGCAATTTGTTGACAATGTTTTGAAGTGCAGTCGAAATTATTTGACTGATAAAGATAAACTAACTGTACTACTGAAACATATAAAACCACTTGATTTTGAACTATCCATAACGCCATAAATGATCTTGATAGAACAATGAGTAGATGAAGTCGATCTAAAACTTCATGTGAACATTTTGTCATGTATATTTACATATCAATCAAAGGCATTTGGGATGCTTCGATAAAAAAGGACATTGTGAAACTTAGCAGTTGCTTTTTCTATGATTTAGTCCTATATTTTGAAGAATAACTATATTGTATGGTGTTTGTTTATCGATTTGAAACGTAAAGTAGTAACAGGTACTTCTAGCTATGTATATTTTAGTGTATATTGTGTGTGCTAGCTTGTGCTTTTTCTGTAAAAGCGAATGCACTGTGAATTTCATTAAATAATAGCTCATAGTTTGTGCATTAGATTCTAACTTTTTAAAAGATTTTTTTCTGTTGGACATGTGAATGATTTAGTTTCAATCTAATTATTGATGGTGTGAATTACTTAAGTTTACCAAACTAAGATGAATCAGCTGTCCAGTGCTCTTTTCTTTCCAGTTGTTTTACAAATGACAATAGTTCATGACAAATATGATAACGTTTAGATCATACTAATAAAGTAGTCAGTAATAAATCAATCAAAGTTAACAAAGTTAACATTTCCAAATGAGCCAAATAAGATGTTTCATCAATCAACTTGATAACCAGTTTGATTGTCTCACCTTTATGTATCTCAGCATGAGAGAAAACTCTGCATGTTCTCCTGATTAAGACCGTCCTCTATATGAGTATGTGGAGACTACCGCGTCTTATTGAGATCACGAACTGATCAAGTCATACCCCCATTAAGAACCTGGAGCTGCTGAAGAGCTATTTCGTTCTGGTATGAAACTTCTCGGCAGTGTTCATTCACAACCGCGCTAAAGGGAATCGAACTCAGGACCTTCAGTCTCTCCCACGAACGCCTATCCTCTAGAATAATGAGTCGATATCCAATGATGTGCAAGTTTAACTTTAATCAATCCAACAATTTCTTAAAACCCCTCAATGGTCATGTACATAATGGTGACTAGCTTCGAAATCCAACTCTTTAAACTCTTTTGAGAAACTGTAATAAATCGTATTCAACTTCATCCGATACAAGACAGTTATACACCATAAGTAATGCATGAGGGTTGCGCAACATTGTGAGACAATTGAAATTAGATTTATAAATCACTGGGTCTAGGCTCATTGGTCAAAAGACTAGTCGTCCCAGCGCGAAACCAAGTCTTAGATTCGATTCCCTATGGCGCGATTGTGGATGAACAATGATTAAAAGTCCCATACTAGGACTAAACAGCTGTCCAGTGCTTCCGGGTTTTGAATGCCCTTTTTACTTTGATCGGTTTGTAATGGCAATATAATATCATCTTTTTCGTCAACCATCTCTTAGGTTCATTTACATCATCTACGGGGTCGTCTATCAAGTATCTTTAATAATGAAAATAAATTCCGAAATGTATATTATGTACGCTCTTCATTGGTACATATATCGATAGTTTGTTGTTCATTTTTTCTGCAATTTCACTGATAAGTATAACTGATCTTAATTGGTTTGTTTTTAAATACACAATCATAAAGGACTATTAAATTCATGTTTTTATTATTTCTTTTCGAGAAAATAATACATGTGTCAGCTTGTTCAAGTTAAAGACAGGAAGGTGACCAAAAAATAGTAAATCTAAGGTTTGATGTCAACATTATATCCTTATATGTATATAAATTAACTGAGAGTTCAAATAGTTAGGAAAAAAACTTATAATTCATGTGAAAACTTGTTGGTATTAAGAGTTTTCTTCATGTAACTTTTCTTTCTCACTATTTTGTAAATATACAATTTTGTTTACTTATTATATGTGAGTTAGTAGATAGAAACAAAGTGGAATATACTTTTAAAGCCCTTTAGAATATTATGGTATATATATACACTCATAAGTATCACACTTCATATTTATTTACTTATTTTGCACTTTTTATTGTCATGCATAAACTTCACAATATACTTGAACCTTCATTATTTCCATTATTTAGAGGCCACCTTAAATTTAAAGAATTAAATATAATGACATACTTTTTTTATTAATTTATTTCAACATTAATCTAGAATTAACATTAATTTCCATGAAGTGAATATATCATTGACAAGAGTGTACGTTCAAGTGAGTAGATTGAGTAAGATGGTTGTGAAGGCTATGTTAGCCTATATTTTGTACGCTTGATTCACATATTGTGAATGGATCTTCGGTCAGACGTCATGAAATCAAACCATTAATGGATGTTTACATGGTTTAAAGAATTCTTTCGTAATAAATTAACACAGAATGAAGGACTATTTAAAGCTACCAATGACTGAACAAGTACTTCATACTACGTCGGGACGTCGCAGCATTCCATAAAAATTAACTCTGTGTGGATAACGTCCTCATAGAGCAGCAAACCTTTAACCCGTTAGGATGGAACCTACCGCTTCATATTTTTAACCTGATTTCATTGATAGTCAACGGTATAATTAGGAAGTAGTGATTTCTCATGATTTCAACTATGAAAATATCTAAATAATCAGCTTGAAACATAAATGACTATATTTTGTTTTTCTCATTCACATTTCAGTTGCTCGAATATGATAACATGATATACATAAAACAATCGAACGTTCTGTCAATCTAGTTGTCTAGATTAACTTTACAACAGTCAGTTGAAATTAAATATTGAGAGAATCTAATTATTTTATATTGTATGTGATGGCATTTTTTAAAACTGTATTTCATAAATATTCTTATCTATTGTTTGAACGTTATCATACATAGTTGACGCGTGACTAAATATGAATCTATCACTAAAATCATTAGCCTGTCAACTAGAGGATGAAAATATATTTAAGTAAACTTTATTAATTTTTATATATTTTCATCAGTAATCTCTCTCGTTATATTAAAGTGGGATCCGTTTACAAGGCATATAGATAAGAAGCTGAACTGGTTCAAAATATAGTTGTAAGAATTAAAGGTCACACATGCACATATTTAACGTTAATAATTTGGTATGGTAAACTTTAAGCCTAAATTATTGAGATAAGAATTTCATAAAATTTTGATAATATTATGTGATATTTGATGAAGGTAGTTTATATTATCATCATATAAAAGTGAGATTACCAAAAATAAAACTTCAACCCTAGAATTGATGGTTAGTAAGGAAAGGAGATTAAAAACTAATTAATCAGAGATGATGAGTAAGTGTTGCGTAATATATAATGCTTATCAAATATGTGTTTAACATTTATACAAACTTCACTGCATCATTTTAACTACTAAATTATCTCACTGTTTTAATGATTAGGAAATTCATGAAGGTTAATTCGATTTACAGATTATGATTACTGGATACTATCAGGGATCTAATAGGTTGTATATTCTCCTTCAAATTATAATTCAGCATATGAAATTTGCAATCATAATCACAAGGTTTCTACACGATTACGACTCATATTGTGGTCGTTTTTTTGTAATCCAACAAAAAAACTTGATGCATTTTTTTCAGCGAAATCATTATCTGTCTAGCTTAATAAACATTGTGTACATATTTATACAGTGATAAATAGTGGCTAGCAGTGGAATCCGTGACGCGCTTTCGGTTGTATTTGGGACTCGTCATCTAAATGTACTTCCATCTCACAGTTGACGACTGCTCCTGGATTCAAATCTGGAATTTAAATATGGTAAAAGTGACTGATCATTTGCAGTCCTGAACATCAACGGAAAGATTTAAACAACCAATACATATGGATTATAATTATATATTGTAATAAAGTTGCACAAAATCTAGGAAAATTAAGATTAAGTCACAAGGTAATTTTGCTGTTGAACTGTATTATTCAATAAGTACTAACATACAAAATGCACTTCAGAGAAATTGAAATAACCCTTGATAAAAACATATCAGAACCGAAACTTGTACTGACTGTGCATGATAATGTTTAACTATGAGTATTCACAGTCAATCAGTCAATAAAATAAGCAAATATTTAATGTTTTAAGATGAATAGGTAGATAACTAAAATTAACCTTTTTTATACATCTTGACAACACATAAGTATTCTTCTTGCAGAATTGTCAGGTTCTCATCTTATTTATTATTTAATAATTTATTACGTGAATTTAGCGACATACCCAGTGTATCTTATTAGCTAAATAACATAAGTGTTTCTAACACCAGAGATGAGTTTCTTTCACCTCTTTTACTGACAGGTTTTATAGTTCAGGAAATGTTAGCTCCTAAAGAGATTCAATATATCTTCAATACACTTTTGTAGACTACTGAGACAATACGAAGTGAGAGATAATTTGTGTGCTCTAATTACAGTAGGTCACACTTCGAAACGGAATGTATCAAATCCACTGTAAGGTTTGTACTGTTAGTTGAAGTATATTCGTTCAGATCAGTATTTTTTAGTAATTGTTCAATTAGTATGATAATTTAGTAAGTACTTTAGTACGAGGCTGAAATAATCCAAACGTGAAACTTTTTCTATTTATTGAACAATTTACATAAACACATTTGAACTTATGGTACATATATCATATCAGCATTAATAGGACTTTATGAAATAATAAACAACCCAAAAATTAGAATGGGAGTTTGTGGAGATTATAGTGATTTCGATAGTTAAATCCATCAGTCGGTGTAAGCCAGACCACCATTGAAAACGTGGTAGTAATGGATGGTCACTTCGTTATAGTATGGAACTTATCAGCAGTGCCCCGTTCACAATCCCATATGCGGGATTCGAACCAATGACCTTTGGTATAATGCGCGAACGCTTCACCTCTAGACCACTGAGCCGGCATCCAACGATGTTAATGTTTAATTTCAACCTATGATATTGCGCTACCGTTCACCATTGTCTTCAATGAGTAACTGACTCACAACAGACACGGTTGAACTCCACTGGTCACGGCTTCGCACTAGAACTCAAGAAAATTCATCCTGAAGCCAGCTACTAGTGGGTACACGTTTATTATTATTAGAATGGGGGGTTTGTGGAAATTGTGGTGTTTTTAATGATTGAATTCATGGGTCAATCGTAGATGTGCACTTCTGAGAAGTCCCATATTAAGACGAAACGGCCGTTCAGTGCCTTCAGGCTTTCAATGGTGGTCTAGCTTACATTGACTCATGTATTCAACTATTTAAAAAATAACTCAACAATTAATTAAAGTATATTATCTAATAATAAAGTAAACTAGTAATGTATTTAATTTTGTTTCTCATATGTTACTTTTTTTTAAAAAAAGATCTACATTTATCAGAATAGTCACTATCTGTTTACATCTGAAAGCGTGTTTATCGTTGAGATAATTTATTAATTTATTGAGTTTAATATACTAGTAGTTAAGTTAGTTAAACAAGTATACCAAAAAAGTATATATTAATCTTATCATTTATTTATGTGATCTTAACTTTATTGTATAGACCATCTTAGCAACTAATTACTTTATATGTCTGATTTTATGTCTAATATATAAGGTGTAGTTAAGCTGATTGACTAATTGCCAAAATCTTTAAAATAAGTTTCAACTCAACAATAAAATATGTACCGTCAAAGTTTTGTTTTGTTTTGTAAATAAATATTATAGTGAATAGGTGAGTTTTAAACCAAAAGACGTAAGTGAATAGAACAAAAGCGTAATGTTTGGTTGTTTTTTTTTTTTTTTAAAATGATTTACGTTCAAACCAATGAATTTATTTGTGTTGTTTTAGTTAAAAATATATCAAAGGGTAATGAATGATGGATAAATTTATAAACTATGGTCTAGCAACTCACAGCAGTCGTTATGAATCATGTGTTTTTGAAATAATAAAGAATGTATGTTTCAACACTATCTCGGAGCCTGTAGTAGTATGTTTAAGAAGTGACTAGTATCGAGATAGATTTCTTAATAACCAGTTAAACAGTACTAGTTATACTAGCAAATACATAAAGAATGAGATAGCAACTTTTACCTATAATAACTCATGCCATATTTAAACAAATTGAATCTATGAAAATGCCGGATAATTCAGATAGAATGTAAAACAATATGTACATTCTTTGTTTACAATTGTTCCACCCATTTTTGATGAGAGTTTTGCTCATCTAAAAGTTTTTCTCAAAATGTCATACTTTTACAGAATTCCTGTAATAAAATGGAGTTAGATAAACTAATTGTTAAAGTAATCTAATATACTACATGGTATTCACATTCATTAAAATGTTCAGTATGTTATAACCACCTCAATTGTTATTAATGCCTTTAGATAGTTGGGAGAATATAAAGAGATTGGATATCTCTATTCTTTACTACTTATTATTCGGATTATTACTTTTTACAAGAAACAATCACGAGTTATCCCATGCAAACATTGAGTGACAAATAACTCAACAAAATAATCGCATTTACTTCTCAGTAAATGAAAAAAATGTAAAGTTATTGTGTTCATTATTTGAGGAAAAACCCAGCTAAGTATATTTCTAAAAAATGTTTTACAACGAGTGACTTAAAAAAACATGCAGTGTGTGGTACATCTGTACTTTTTCCACAATTCATTAAAATGTATTCAATTATGTTGAATCGTAAAACGCCTACAGAAGTTACAATGTAATGATTTTGTCATCACATACAATAACTCCTACCTCATTTACGAAAAAACGTTCCTGAAAATTTGGATATCGATGCCGAGATTGGATTTGATAGTTGTAAATAAACTGAGGATTGGGTAGAAAGTCAATAATAAGTATATATTTTTTGTTATATCCCAATGCATAGAAAAAGTTGTATTTCCGACGTTTCGTGGCTCAATGTAAGCCACTTTTTCAGATTTATTTACCCTGAAGAAGTGGCTTACATTGAGTCACTAAACGTCAGAACTACAACTTTTACTACTCATTGGGATGTAACGAAAAATATATTTAATATTACCGAAGATGTTATTTTGTGTACACCTTTGTTCCTAAATACGATCCATTTTTATTTCAAAATACTGAAAAATATTTTCTATTCATATCTTTAGCTTATTGATCTATACTACTTGTTTATTTCGTATAAAATGTTTATGGCTGTCTCGTTAAATTATTACACTATAAATAAATTCTTCCTTTCTAATTTGTTTTCCTTTCTCATTCTTTGTTCTGATACTAAATTCAGTTAATAAATAGATCAACATATGATCCATTTTTACCAATCATTATATTGATAATGAATGGAATTGTATTGTAGACTGAGTTTAATTCAATTTAAACAAACATATTTAAATGATTGTAACCATTATTGTTTCAAGTTAAAACAAATCATGTAACGAAAATCGAAAAAAGACGTAAAATTTTATAAAATAAATGTTTTCCATAATTAACAATTGCTTACCATTATTTTAGACAATATCATAAAATATTGTTGAGAACTTGTTTTAAAATTTAGTTGCCATAACAATTTAGTTACTTATATATATGTGCAATACTCACGTTTTCTCTTCCCTTCCCTAGGTTGTCCTTAGTTTATATCTGTATCTCTTTCTCTCTTGACCTAAGTGACAACAACTGTCCCTTAAACGTGTATATCAAATTCTTCATTTTTAACATAGACATGTAATTAAAACCACAATATATGTATATTAGATCATTTGGTAATAACCAAATGACCCTGGTCGAAATAAATCGAATATAAATAACTAACAATCATATAGATAGGTATGATTAATATATAACTAGAAGAAACATGGATTAATCTGTATAAAAATTTCTAAAAAGTAACGGGGTTGATTTTAGTTATTGAATTATTAAAAAGAGGATAGAAATATTATTCAGATGAGAGATAGGTAGTAAACAATCCATAATAGGTTGGGAGAAGAACACAAGTAATGGTAGTGAATAACAAAATGTTACTAACCACAAATTGTTATAATAAATGTATAAAAGTGAACACAGCTGTTTATATATTTAACAATATTAACTTGAAAACTATCAAAGAATAAATTTGACTAGTTAACCCAAAAAAAATTTTCGATCATATTTAACAGTAGACTGATAGTTCACCATTCCGAACAAAAGTATTATAGTATAATGATAAAACTGATAAACCTCATGATTGAACGACATATAATGACAATCAATAAGGTACACTTAAAGTACATCTATCTATATTCATGACATAATATTTCTTAAAACATGAAATGATTCTAGTATAATTTTGTTGTTTGGTAACTATAGATTTAACTTGGATTCCACTGCTAGCCACTATCCATCTTTCCTTATAATGCTTGTGAATTAAGGGTATATCGAGGCAATATGCGCAGTATGCACATATGCCAATAAGAGACTGACCAGTTGCAGTCCTAAAAATCAATGGGAAGATTCAAACAAACAATACTAAATGAATTTAAACTTCACCCCATTGAACAAGTGGTTATAATATTTGTGACTTAAGATAATATCGAGGCAATCCGCACATGATGCACATATACTAATAAGAGACTGATCAATTACAGTCCGAAGTATCAATGGGAAGATTCGAACAAACAATGCAAAATGAATTAACTGACTTCCTTCATAAATATTCCTTAAAACTTAGTTTATTGCCTAATGCATTTCAAATGTATCAATATTAAGTCAGTTTTGAAATTTGTAAAATATTTTTAAGTGATTATTATTAGCTTCAAATGACTCACGC